CCTCTTAAGCCAATAGGTGCCTTAAATATCTCTTCAAAATTTGGACAAATGAAGAAAACCGCCAAATAACTGCCTCTGACACTTAAGCATGGGGCCCTGACGCTTAGACGCGGTCTTCTCTGTTTAACTAGCGCTTAAACGCAGGATCTGACACTTAGGCACCAAAACACTTTAGCACAATTTTCACCTCTTTGCTCCAAATTTGATCATTTTTCACTCATTTTAGCATTTTTCACCTTTTAACTTGTACTTGAAAGAAAAACACACAAATACCTTCCATTAAGCGCAATATCTCAAAAATATGTATAAAAATATATCTAAAAACACTATATATTTTAGGTGTATCACTTGTCATTTACTAGTTGAACTTGAGCATAAAACATATTGGGCGATTAAAGAGTTCAATTATAATTTGAAAGATGCCGGTGAGAAAAGATTATTTTAATTAAATGAGCTTGAAGAAATAAGGAATGAGTCTTATGAATGTGCTAAGATTTATAAAGAAAAGATGAAGATGTGAAGATGAAGATGTGGTGAATTCTTACTAAAAATTTTCAGTCAGGACAACAAGTTTTGCTATATAATGCAAGGTTAATATTATTTTCAGACAAACTTAAGTCCATGTGGATGTGCCCATTTGTTGTGATAAAAGTTTATCCTTATGGAGCTGTGGATATCAAAGATCCTAAACCTGAGAAAGTATTTAATGTGAATGGTCATAGAATGAAACCTTATTTTGTAGGGGATCATCATAAATTTAACGATCGAATGATGTTGGGTCAACCAGAATAAGCACTGGTTACGTCAGGCTGGCGACGTAAAACTAAGCGCTCTGTGGGAGCCAACCCATAGTTATCAGTGTATTTTTGGCTTTAATTGTTGATTGTGTGTGATTAAGAAAATTTGAGGTAGTATTTTTGAGACTATTATGTGTTAGTATTCATTTTAAGACTTTATTTAGTGATCTAGACATGTTAGAATGAGTATTTGGAAGTTAAGTTGACTGCTGCAAAATTTAGCACTGACGCTTAAGCACTAATATTCGACGCTTAAGCGGAATGTTAAAAATCATGTGCAAAATTCAATTTCTAGAAGCTTTAACCTCCTATTGGTTAACTTAAATGTTCCATGACAGGAAGTTATTTGAAGGATTTAGGCCTATAAATAGAAGGGTTCCGTGATGGAATTTCACCCCGGAATCATTTTTAGCCCAAAAAGTCTAAGAAAAGAGAGATTTTGAGAAAATGTCTTCATGGGAGATGGATTTGAAGAAAAAGGAAGAGGCCATGAGAAAGAGAGGCCATGAGAGGAAGAGGCCATGAGAAAGAAATTCATTAGTCAAAGTGTACAAGAGATGTATAACAATTTTTTAGCTGTTAGAATTGAAAGAATAGCGGAAAAGATCAACAAAATTGAGACTAGCGTGACTTTACTTGAGATAAAGGTAAATGAAGTTAATGCACATCTAGCGCATATTGGATGACAATTAAAAATGTAATTTATCCATACTAGTTATAGAGGAAGCGGATAAGACGATGTATCTTAAGCAGAATTGGATTGAAGAAGATTGTATCAGAGCTCGCCACCACCATCCATTTTATCAACTCTATATTATCCCATCCATTTTATCAACTCTATATTTTGAATGCCCAAGGAGAGACTAATGAAAGACAAGAATTTGTTCCAACAAATGAAGAATGAAATTAAGTTCAGTTTTAGAGTTTGTTTGATAGGAGTCAATGTTTTTATGTGTTAGTGTTAAATCTTTTTTTATTGTTTATGTCCGTTATGTGTTTAATTGAGTATGTTTGTTTAGTGTTTGTATTTAGGAAAATTTTCTCAATCGAGACTCTTTGGATGAGAATTATGTGTTGAATGTTGCTTGTAATAGTTCATAAATGAATATATGTGTTTGTTGGTGTGAAATATATGTGATAAATGAATATATGTGTTTGTTGGTGTGAAAATTTGTGTTATTTTAGCCTCGAATCAAATTAGTTATATTGGAGAATTTTGAGAGAGAAGAGAGTTAAAGGAGAGGAAAATAGTCATTTAAGTGTCGTAAGAACATTTATGAGTGGTATACTTAGGCTAATAGTGCATTCTACTTAAGTTAAAAAAATATCAAAAATCGTGCATTGGCACCTAAGCGCCACATTCTCGCTCTTAAGTGCGATGCAACCCGAGAGGCAGGCTAAGAGGCAGGCGCCTAAGCGCCACCTATCTGTGCTTAAGCGCCGGTTCACGAAAACCGGTTCGCAAACGGTTAAAGGTGAAAAATAACCCAAAAAATTGCCATTTTTACTCATGTCATCATCTTCTTCCTCTCGAGTTCGCGGTTTTGAAATTAGGGAAAGCCTTTTTGTGGAGATTTCTTGGTGGATTTGAACCAAATTTGCTAGATTTGGATTTCTTAATGTAGGAGCTTCACTTCTATGTAAAAAATTTTGGATTTTTACCATATATTTTGAGTACATTTGGAAAAACCCGAAAATCACTATTCATGGTGAAAAGTGAAGAAAAAACTATAGAAATTGCATAGAAAGTGTAGTTTATGCTTATAAGAGTTAAGTTTAGTAGCTTAGACTTGATTTTTGAAATTATTATGGAATTTTATGAAATTTATAGGATTGCCCCAAGAATGAAGAGGAGTAAGGGAAAGACCCACTTTGATTCGAGCAAGTTTGTGAATTCAAAAGCTCAGGACAGGTATAGTGACGCTCTACATTCACGAAAATTGATTCTTAAGAGGTGTTTTAAAAATCTAGGTGGATCTGTGGAAGACTTGATTGTTTGCCGACAATGGGAACGGTTCTGTTGTTTTTCTGTTGTGGCTGTGATATCTGTTGTACGGGAGTTTTGTGCAAACCTTCCTGAGGCGGAAGAGGATCGAGTCATGGTCAGAGGCAAATTGGTACCTTTTTCACTGGAGGTAATCAATATGATCTACCATTAACTGCATGATACTTTATGTTTTTATGAGAACTATAGTCCGACTGAGACGGAATTGGACGAGATTATTTCATATTTGACTGTTGGAAGGGGACTCTGGAAAATTACAAATGAGAGGAGAGTCAACTTTTCCATTTCAAAGTAAAAGTTAAGTGCACCATCGAAGGCGTGGCACTAATTTATTTCAGCTCGTCTATTACTAACAAATCATCTCAGTGAAGTTACGAGGGAGAGAGCAATGTTGAATTATTGTATTCAGGAAGGCAAGCTTATCAATATTGGAGCTTTGATTTATCAGACTATCATCAGTTCTGCCACTGCCGCTACTACTGCAGGTCTGGGATTTGCTTCCTTGATCTTTTCTTTGTGTGAGCAGGCTGGTGTGAGATATGATAGTTGGGAAGAAGTGTTGCTTCCTCTAAAGCCAATTACAAGTGTAAATGTGAATTCTTATTCTGAGTACTCTATTTTTTGGTTGAAGAGGAGAATTTTCGAGAAGTTATGGAATGTCGACGTCTGCTGTATCCACATATGCTTCTTCTACATCAAGACCATCTACCTCACGAGCATTTACTTCTAGAGGTGAGTCTATTAAAACTCAGGATCAATTCTTGTAGAGGATGATGGATAATATTAATTATACCGCATATAACGTTCAAAATCTAGAGCATTTTATAGCATTTTATAGAAAGAGCATTTTATAGAACATATTGATGGGTATGCTAGAAGACATAGTGATTATGAGGAGAAATTTCACTCATCTTTGGAAAACCTCATTAGGGGTAACCAATGAGTGGAATTTTCTTCATATCCAAGATACCTTGATTATGTGCCTATATATGTCTGGAACAATGACAATTCAGATGATGAGGAGGACTGAGTTATTTTTATATTTGTAATATGTGATAGACTACATGGTGTGAACTTGAGACATTTGAATATGTGTACTTGTTTGGACTATGTGATGTGTTAGTTTTTTTTAGTTTAATTATTATTGTGATGTTTGTGTTTTATAGTATTTTGTTTTAAATTCTCGGGTAGTAATTGTTGTTGTGTGTTGAGTAATGTGTTTTAGTTAGTTAGGATTGAACTAATTTCTCTGTCTTTTGAAAAGTTGAAAATCTTGCTAGCGTTAATTTTAAATTTTAATTTCAAAAAATTACTACCCTGTATTTTTCTTTTATCTTGTTAGTTTTTTTTTGTTAAACTGTGAAATCAAAGTTAGTGTGTTTGTTTGTTTTCATGTCTGTACCCACTTTTTAGAAGTCTAATGAATCTTTACATGTTGAATTAAAATTAAAATGATAGAAAATTGATCAAAAATTAATTTTACTCTTATTTTTAGTTTTATACTTGTATAATTAGGGTAGAAAAATTCCTTTAAGCATGTTATTTCAATTTGTATTTAAATTTAATGCTGTTTTTTTCTCTAATTAGACACTTATACATTTAGTTTTATACTTGTATTTACTCCTATTTTTAGTTTTATACTTGTATTTAAATTTAATGCTGTTATTTCAAATTGATCTAAATTTAATGCTGGTTTTTTCTCTTGCGTTGATTCTGAATACAGTAAAACAAATTGGTTTGCAAAAGCTTTACTTATTTAAAAAACAAAAAAAAATACAACTGCATTGTAAAATAAAATAAAAACACAAAAAATAAGTGTTACAGATTTCGGCTCGCTCGTTCGTTTTCGGCTCGTTTATACCCTTACGAACACGAGCTGAGCCTGGGCTCGCTCGTTTTCGGGTGTTTGACTCGTTTATACCCTTACGTATTTCATATCTAACCTTTAAATTTCAATTTTTACATATGCCCTAAAATATCTATACATGAAAATATATATATCAATTTTTAGAAATTAAAATAGTGATATTTTTTTATGTGATATGAAAGAATTAGAAGATTAAGATGTTGTGAAGTGTTACAGATTTACTATAAAAACAACATATTACATAAGATTTAGTATGATAAGTTCTGTTTTAAAAGTGAAACAGATGTTCTGAAGTGCAGTTTCAGCGGGACGTCTGGCATAAGGTCCATAATCCACTCAATATTTCTGACCCAAAGAATCGGTCACAGATACATACGAGAGCATAATCCGAGCTCTTCATAACTAATTATTGTGCTAATCTTCAAATGCATCTAATGCTATAAAATCAATATTGGAGATATCCAGGCCCCGTTAACTCAAGTTGGCGGCTATAGCAAGCTCTTAAAACTTGAAACTCCTGTTGCTCTCCTCCCAGCTAGAAGTCTTTCCATTTATTGTTCGTCCAATGACATTGCTAGCGCATATGCAAGGGATCCTGGCAGGAATCAAGCGGCGGCTATTCAGGAGCACGCCGAGAACGCCATATGACCGGCCACCGACGGCTGCACGCAGTCTTTATAATACCACAAGTGTGAATGAGAGTGATAATGATGGCCGGCTTTTGAAGTTTGTGGAGTCGGTGTCAAGTTTGATTACCAGGATAGCCTCCAAATTCTTCTCGTTTGTATGCCGTAAGCAACTCGCCGAGCATCCCGATGCTTCATATTGGATTGTCGTGATGTTTCATAGTTTTCATAAAAAAAAGGATTTAAATTTTCTAGTGATACTTTTATGATTTATACCGTTAGCAACCAAATGAATCAAAAGCTAAAAAAGAAACGGTTATTTATTATGGATTTTTATTGGCGTTTGTACCAAATTAATTAAACTAAATAGCATTTACAAAACCTTAAGAAATAATTGTTGTCATTTCAAACAACAACAGTAAAATTATAATTTTATTTTTTTAAAAAAATTATAAATCCATTTATTCCCTGTAAGCTTGCTCGACTTCCAATCACCGCTAAAAGCTTGCCTGAGAGAGAACCAAGGAAGGGCTCTGCTTCGTTTCGTCATGTCGATGGCATTTTTGTCGGAGAGGTCGTTGCGACAAAAATCCAGCAAGAAACCTCGACATGACGAAGCAGAGCCCTTCCTTGATTCTCTCTCAGGCAAGCTTTATAAAAGCTATTTAATACAAATTTATTGATATGCATTTATTTGGGATGTTATGATTGACTACTAGTTCGTTTCTTCCCCTCAAATTTTTTTCACTGCGCAACAAGCCTTCTGAAGAAAGAGTCCAATATTTTATACTAACAAAATGGTTGAAAATAGTGATTTTTTCTGCCAATCATTTGTCCACTTTTAGGTGTTAGTGATGATCACATTCTTATAAGAAAACTAATTTAAGTGTGAATTACTTCTACAATAAAATTATAGTCATTGCATAAAACTCACGTAAGCATGAAGAAGCATATAAAATTCCTAGCCTATTTTTAGTGTCAGTGACGAATATGAATAAAAGGTTGATCCTATCATTTGCTACAAGTTATGTTTACCCAAGTTTCAAACATCTTGAATACATTGGACATATTCATGTTAACTAATTTAAGTAATGCATTGTTATTTTCACTAGTCAATCCTCTTCTAATGTTTGTAATTATATATTGTAACAATAAACAACTATTAGCTACTCAAATATGATAGTGAAATGGAGAGAAAGATATAAGAAATTTACATATAAAAAGAACCATTTCTATAGCAATTTATTAATGAGTTGATATATCTTAAAATAATAAAGTCAATTCTGAGGTAAGTGCTCAACAGATTGAAAGCTATAACTAATCAACTCAATAAAAAAAAAACATAATCCATCCATTTTAGTATCTTAGTGATGAGTTGCATTATTTCTGACACATTGATTTGCATGCATGATTTGTATTGTCATATTGAATGAGTTTTTTACTTTGTTAATTTTTTGATCCAGCTTTAAGCTCATTTTCTAGTTTAATGTTTTTTTAAGTTGTTTGGAAGCTAAGAGCTCATCTCACATTAGTTTTGTTTCTTTTTTTTTTCATTTTCTTTTTTTATTTTAATTCTATAATATATTTGACTAGCATAATTTAATATATTTTTTTTTACAAATAGATCGACTTATTTTTGAAAATACTTAAAACACCTAAAAACTTTTATGTGCTTTTAAAATGAGTTACCTTAATCAAACATGTTTTAAGTTAAACCAAAATTAAAAGAATAAAATAAAAAAATTATCTCAAATGACCCTAATTTTCTCTTAAATGATTTCACGAGTTATCACTTTTTTTCTAGATGATTCAATTTGGATGGCTATAAAAAGGAGAGCATAACCAAACTCATTCCAAGGTTATTTAAGGTGTATTTATTCTTACCTCTAATGTATATTACAATCTAATTTGATCCCTTAACTTCTCATATCTTGCTTTTTCTTATCCCTTCCACAGTTTTCTTTGGTCTCTTAACTTTAATTTTTTGGTAACTTGAGAGAATACATTATAAAGAAAGCTTTGCAGTTAAAGTAAACACATCTTAAGTAATATATGAACTAATTTGCTCCTTTTTTATTATGGAAAGAAACATTCATTGATGACTAGATGAACGATTTGCTGATTCATAGAAAAATAATGTTTCAAAATATCTAGAGTAAATTTGTTTATTCATTGTCTTTCTTTAAACAAATGAATTTAAGGCTAAGAACTTAGGGTTTGATGGTCAATGCACTTATTATTATACTATGCTAAATTTTTGTTTCAACAATTTATTTTATTATCATTTTATAGTTGTATATTTGTTGAGCTAACTAAATGTTGATAAATTAAATAATTACCACAACTATTGCATCTTTGCAAACCTTAATTACGCTTGATGGTGATGGTGGCAGTGCTAATTTGAAAGATTTTATTTGAGCTCATGATCTTGTTCTACTTTAGATTTTCTTGTTATTTGTTATTTTTTGATGGTTGCAAAATAAAAAATATAAATTTATTAGCACTTCCTCTTAGATGATACTGACATCTTATTGTTCTTATCACGTTATTGTAGGCTCAAGGGAAAAAAATTTTGTTAAGCTTGATGCACCTACGGTAAATTCAGTTGTAAGTACTGTTAATAAGTTGAATATCTTCAATCATTTTTGTAATAAATAATAAATTGTGTAAAGTTTATAAATTTGTTATTTATTAATTTTAGTTTTTTATGTTTTTCATATGAAAGAATTGTACATTTTACAATAATTATTTGCTTATCTCTAAAATGCTCAAATGTTGGCTTAAATCTCAGGAACAAAGATTGGTAGAGGCTAACAATTTAAGTACATCAAAAGATATTGGAATATCTGATATTGAAAAACAGATTATACAAAGAAGGAATGAAAGGAAAGTTTTGTTTTTAAATTTTCTTCAATTGTTGTTCTCATGTACCATGACACTTTCTGATTGGTTATATACAAGATTTAGATGAGAATTTTAATTGACTTATTTGACATTTTTTCTAGTTTCTATTAAAAATTAGGTGCATCCATTGCCTTTTAAATTTCTTTAAATTTTATATTCTATTCCTTATATAAAATATTCAATAACCTTGGTAATTTTGTTTTTAATTTTCTTGCTATTGTTGCATGTTATACCGAAGATCTTAACTAATTGATGATAATGTATTTTAGAACAATATGGCCTTACATTGATTTGAAATATTTTTATAAAATCCTATTTTTAGTCATATTAATGAATTTTTTTATGAAAATAACCTATTGAATTTTTGTTTTCTAACAGGGCTAATGTTATTCATCTACTGAAGATGATCAAATCACAATCTTCAAAGATACATAATTCTGGAGTGCCGAAGAAGGTAATTATCTATTTTAGAAATTTAGTTTTGTTCTCCAAGTTATATAGAAATTTATCAAAACTCTTTTTTTGTATGGTCATATACTTTTTATATATTTATGATAAAGTATACATCATGTCATTGTGCTTGGCACATTACATGACTTTTCAAGCTAATTCAAATGCCAACATAAGCATTAATAAATCAATGAAAAATCATCTACTCATATGCTTGCGCATTTGTATTTATAGGTGCATTTTTATGTATCTTAAAATACCTAAAATGTTTAAGCAAAGTGTCACATACTATAACGTAAATTATTGCCCTTTTTCCAACATTGTTCCCATTGTTAAATTAAAAATTAGGCCATATTAAAGCACATGTTATTCTAACTTAACATTATGGATAATATGAGTGCATGATTAGTTATATAAATATTTGTAAATATGTGGATAAGATGATATTACGTCCCTTTAAATTAAATTGTTCTATAAAGCTTTGTGATATCAATTTCCAATCTTGCTTATGACATATTGTACTAGCACAATTAGTAAACAATAAAATTTTCTTGTTTTTTTCCTAATTTGTTTGGTAAATATTTGCCTCACCCATAATTATACTTTGTATTAATGAATCTACATTTTTTATGATTTAGCCGGCCTTGAAACGGGATCATACTTTTCTAGATGATGATGAAACTTTGTTATGTCGTCCACATAAAATTCATAAGAAATTAGGTGAAAAGGAAAAACAAGTGGTTGACAACATCCCATTTACAACAACTGATATGGTAGGTGAAATTACAACTAACAACAAGAATGATGCTTTCACTTCTAGTAGAAGTAGTTCGCCCATTATAAAGTCCACAAATACTGTTACTTCATGTCACGCTACACTTCCTTTACAAAGAAATTCTGGTGTTGAGGTTAGGCTTTTTTTTTTTTTGCAAAAATTTCATCATTTTTATTTTATTATTACCATATTTAAATTGTGATATTATATTTTTAAAGTTTATTGAACAAGACGAAGAAATTGACCAAGATGAAATGATTGTGAAGAATGTCCCATTCACAACAACCATATTAGAAAATGTAATTACAACAAATGACATGAATGATGCTTCCTCTCTAAGTAGAAGATCTATTATATCATCTACAAATACTTCAATTTCAAGTCATGTTGCACTCCCTTCACAAAGAAAATCAAGTTTTCTTATGTCAGCCCCTGAGGTTTGAAATTCTTTATTTATTTTAAAATTTTCTTTTCTTTTATTTTGCAATGATTAAATTTTAACTTTGCTCTTGTGTTTTACAGTTTCTTGATCTTGATGAGGAGAATGATGAAACAAATATTTATGCTCAGTTGTTCTTCGATTTGGATCAGCCTAAATTGAACTTACTAGAGCAAAAATCTTCAAATATACATAAATATGAAGTAGAAAATAAATTGAATAAGGTAATTATTTATTTTTAAAATATAGTTTTGTAGTTGAAGTTATAAAAATTTATCAGAACTCATTTTTCTGTATAATCATATATTTTTTATATATTTATGATAAAGTGTACACCTTGTCATCGTGCTTGGAGTATTATATGACTATGAAGAAAATTTAAATGACTCTCAAATGACTCTCTTTCACATTTCCAACTTAAGCATTAATACATCAATGAAAAAAGATGTACTCATATATTTGTATTTGTATTTATAGGTGTATTTCTATGTATCTTAAAATACCCAAAACGTTTAAACATATTGTTGCATATTATTATGTAAATGATCGCCCTTTTTTTAGAGTTTAATTATATATGCACCAACATTGTTCCCTTCTTTAAATTAGAAATTAGGTCATATTAAAGCACATGTTATTCTAACTTAACATTATGGACTTAACATTAATTCTAACTTAACATTATGGATAATATGAGTGCATGATTAGCTATAAAAAATTGTAAATATGTGTATAAGATGTGATTAGGTCCCTTTAAGTTCAAATATTTTATAAAGCTCTAACACAATGAGTACACAATAACTTTTGCTAGTTTTTTCCCAATTTGTTTGCTAAATATTTGCCTCACCCCTAATTATACTTCGTATTAATGGATTTATATTTCTAATGGTTGGGCAGGTATTGAAACGAGATCATACTTTTCTAGATGATGATGAATCATTGTTATGTCATCGTCCACGTAAAATTCACAAGAACTTAGGTGAAAAGAAAAAACAAGTTGTTGACAATATCACATTTACAACAAACCCTATGGAGAGTGCAATTACAACTAATGACATGGATAATGCTTTCACTGCTAGTAGAAGTATTTCTAGAAGTATTTCGCCCATTATAAAGTCCACAAATACTACCGCTTCATGTCACGCCACACTCCCTTTACAAAAAAATTCCGGTGTTGAGGTTCGATATTTTTTTTATTTTTTTTGTGTTTTTTTGCAAAATTTTCATCATTTTCATTTTAGTATTTTCATATTTAAATTGTGATATTTTATTTCAAAGTTTATTGGCGAAGACAAAGAAATTGACCAAGATAAAATGGTTGTGCAGAATGCCCAATTCACAGCAGCTATATTAGAAGATGTAATTGCAACAAATGGCTTGAATGATGCTTCTTCTCTAAGTAGATGTAGAGAATCTATTATATCATCTATAAATGCTATCATTTCTAGTCATGTTGCACCCCCTTCAGCCCCTGCGGTATGAAATTCTTTATTTATGTTAATTTTTTTTTTATTTTGATGTGATTATATTTAAACTTTGGTCTTGTATTTTATAGTTTTTTTATCTTGATGAGGAGAATGATGAAAACATTATTTATGTTCAGTCATCCTTGGATTTAGATCAGCCTAAATTGAACTTACTAGAGCAAAAATCTTTAAATATACATAAAACTAAAGAAGAAAATAAGCCTATGGTAATTATTTATTTAAAAAATATAATTTTGTGCTCCAAGTTATATAGAAACTTATAAAAACACATTTTATTGTATGGTTAGATATTTTTTATATATTTACGATAAAGTATACACCTTGTCATTGTGCTTGGCCCATGACATGACTTATTAAGATAATTCAAACGACACTCACATTTTCCAACTTAAGCATTAATAAATCAATGAAAAATGATGTACTCATATATTTGTATTTTGAAGTTTATTGACGAAGACAAAGAAATTGACCAAGATGAAATGGTTGTGAAGAATGCCCCATTCACAACAGCTAGGGGTGTAAACGAACCGAACACGAACGAACAAAGCTTGTGTTCGTGTTCAGTTCGTTTAAAATTTAGTTTGTTTGAAATAAGCTCGTGTTCGTTTCTTAACGAACGAGCCGAACACGAACCGAACACGAGCTGTTCGCGAACGACGAGCCAGTTTGACATCCCTAATATTAATATATAAAAATAATATTATATATTAATTATATAACTTATATTATATAAATATACAATATCTATACTAGTATATTACTACCATAGTATATTAATATATTATTATTATTATTATTATTATTTTATTATATATTATAATTTATAAAATTTAATGTTTTAAAATATAATAAATTTTTTATATATAATTATTTTATATTATTTTATATTTCAAACAATAACGATTCGAACACGAACGAACGCATCACTGTTCGTGTTTGGTTCGTTTAACTAACCGAACGAAAAAAAATTGTTCGTGTTTGTCTCGTTTACTTATCGAATGAATCGAACACGAACTCATTGACGAACCGAACACGAACTGTTCGCGAACAACGAGCTTTTTTGACAGCCCTAACAACAGCTATATCAGAAGATGTAATTGCAACAAATGACATGAATGATGCTTCCTCCCTGAGTATAAGTAGAATATCTATTATATCATCTAAAAATGCTAGTATTTCAAATTTTGTTACACTTCCTTCAACCCCTGAAGTTTGAAATTCTTTATTTAGGTTACTTTTCCTCTTTTTTTTTTTATTTTGGTATGATTATATTTAAACTTTGCTCTTGTATTTTATAGTTTCTTGATCTTGATGAGGAGAATGTTGAAACCAATACTTATGTTCAGTCGCTCATGGACTTGGATCAGCCTAAAACAAACTTACTAGAGCAAAAATCTTCTGAAGTAGAAAATAAGCAGAAGAAGGTAATTATTTAATTTAAACATATAGTTTTATGCTCCAAGTTATATAGGAACTTATCAAAACTCATTTGTTATATGGTCATATATTTTTTTATATATTCACGATAAAATATACAGTTTGTCATTGTGCTTGGCGCATTACGTGACTTAACAAGATAATTCAAATTACTCTCTCACATTTTCCAACTTAGGCATTAATAAATCAATGAAAAATGATTTACTCATATATTTGCATTTGTATTTATAGGTGTATTTCTATGTATCTTAAAATAACCAAAATGTTAAAACATATTGTCACATATTATTATATAAATAATTGTCATTTTTTTGTAAATGAGAGTTTAATTATATATGTACCAACATTGTTCCCATTTTTAAATTAAAAATTAGGACATATAAAACCACATGTTATTCTAACTTAACATTATGGAAAATATGAGTGCATGGCCAGCTATAAAAAATTTGTAAATATGTGGATAAGATGTGATTGAGTCCTTTTTTAGTTCAAATATTTTTTCATATTGTATAACAAAATGAGTACGCAATAAATTTCGGTAGGCTTTTCTTAATTTGTTTGGAAAATATTTGCCTTATGCCCAATTATACTTTGTATTAATGTATCGACATTTCTTATGGTTGAGCAGGTCTTAAAGCGAGATCGTTCTTTTCTATATGATGAAGAATCATTGTTATGTCATCCACGTAAAATTCATAAGAAATTAGGTGAAAAGAAAAAACAAGTTGTTGATAATATCTCATTTACAACAGCTGCTATGAAAGGTGCAATTGCAACTAACAACATTATTTATGCTTTCACTTCTAGTAGAAGTAGTTTGCTCATTATAGAGTCTACAAATGCTACTGTTTCATGTCATGCAACACTCCTTTCACAAAGAAAACCAAGATTTTGTATGTCAGCCCCTGAGGTTTGAAATTCTTTATTTATGTTAAATTTTTATTTATTTTTTTTATTTTGGTATGATTTTATTTAAAATTTGCTCTTGTATTTTACAGTTTCTGGATATCGATGAGGAGAATGATGAAACCAATATTTATGTTCAGTCGTCCATGGATTTGGATCAGCCTAAATGAAACTCACCCGAACAAAAACTTCCTTAAATGATAGATCAGCTTGTACTGACAGTTCTAATAAGCATGAAAGCTTCACATTGTGTATTTTTTATGTATTTACACACATCTAGTCTACTAAATTCCTACCTATTATATATTGTGACAATGACAAAATTCTTCGTATTGTTGATATCATATGAATTATGTTATTTGCATAACCATATGACATATCTAACTGTATTGATATAAAAGAAGCAAGTCTTCCTATCTAATTAATTAGGAGCACACATAAATAGGGCTGTGAAAACAGCTCGTTGTCACCGAACAGCTCGTGCTCGGCTCGTTAAATTCGTTCGATAAGTTAACGAGCCGAACACGAACTAAGATGTGTTCGTTCGTGTTCGGCTCGTTTTGGCTCGAAATACTACTCATCAAGTATATATATTTATTAAGTAGTATTTTAAAATAATCTAATTGACTACAAAGCTACAAAGATTTATAACCAATTAAAATATTGATTAAGAAAATAGAATAAAAATTATTAAATTAGATTTAAATGATGTTTTAATATAAATAATAATTTTTAAATCTTGCTCAAACCCTTATTGTCTTATGGCTGCTCGTTAAGCAAACGAGCCGAACACGAACACACTTTTTGAGCTCGAAATATAAACGAGCCGAATACAAGCTGAGCATGGCTCGCTCTTGTTCGGCTCGTTTACACCCTACACATAAATAAGTTAGTAGCTATTCAAATCAACGCCCTTTCCCTCTTCAATGAGGAGAAATAACTAAAACAAATAAGAAAACCGTAATTAAACTTGATATAAGAAAATCCCAACAATCAAGCTATCTGGAAGAAAGCTAACAGCATAACAGTGACATTCAACTTTAACATCAGCATGAGACTTTATACAATTTAAGCAAAGAAATTTATTGTTATTCTTTTTTTGCTTTGCAAGAAAATAAAATGCTAAATTAATTGTATTTGACAAGAATCAAACAAAAGCCTAACATTATACATTCCAATTGACTACTACACTTGAATTCATCTTCATTTTGACAGTTAATGAACCAACACATATTTGCACATATGCGTGTAACTTCACCCATATGCAAATCATGAAGCTTGTGATGCTCAATAGACTCAATTGATTCATGGTAAGATAAACTTAATACATTCCTGTTGGCATTTCAAGAAGAACCCTTCACATTTCCACAATTCATCAGTACTTCACCGTGCAAGAAGATATCTCATATTTACCAAGCAACAGGTTTCATGGTTCCAAAATGATGGAGGACAATCCATTCAAACCAAGTAAACTCAACAGCTATAGAAATTGATTTAAATCTTACCAATGAGGACATGTTGAATCTTTAGAAATGAATTAAATTCACCTAAGTCAACTGATTGCATCTTCTAAATCAATTCACATTCAGATTCAGAAGTTTTAATCAAGATATTTGCAAGATAAAAAAAATAAATTGAGAGGCTTGAACCTATCATGCCAAATCTATAAAGGCAAATGAGCTCTAACAAGAAAATTCCAGAAAGCGTAAATCTCAGAGAAAGCAACGAGCTCATTTCCATGGCTTCAATATATATACATGAATTTTCAGATTTTAATAAAACAAGGTGAGTAAGGTCCTCAATACACACATTCACACATGCCAACCAATTCTTCGTGTATCTACGCCGTGTATCTACGTATCTAGCACCTATATTTCATATTTATGGCATCTAAATTCCCCATAGCATACATATCACAAAGGTTACCAATATAGTTTTAGGTGTACGAGTAAAATGGTATATAGGTAAAGAAATTAATGATATGTAAGCACGTAGGAACTATATGATGTGCAAGTAAACCTTCCAAAACCCGGTATCCAACATATGAATGTGAGAATTCTTAACCTTTAAGCTATAAAATATATCAATCACCTGCCACAAAGCATCTATACATAAGTACTCTGAACACTAGAGAAAATTTCCTAAATATTGAGCCAAGCATTTAAATCTCACAAACCCCTTTAATAAAAGAAGTAAAAGTGGCAATAATTAGTGAATAACCAAATTGTACCATCCTTCTTGAAAATTCCCAATTTCAATTTCTATATACCCACATGATGACTAACCTTGCATTTGACATTACCATTATTCGAATTTTTCATACCACAACTGGATATCACCAACAAAATTTCAATGCCTGGGTGATGTGCTTGTGATGTGCAAGTATACCTTCCAAAACCCGATATCCAACATATGAATACGTGAGAATTCTTAACCTTTAATCTATAAAATATATCAATCACCTGCCACAAAGCATCTATACATAAGTACTCTGAACACTGGAGAAAATTTCCTAAATATTGAGCCAAGCATTTAAATCTCACAAATTTTAATAAAAGTAAAAGTGGCAATAATTAGTGAATAACCACTTTAATAAAAGAGAAAATTTCCTAAATATTGAGCCAAGCATTTAAATCTCACAAATTTTAATAAAAGTAAAAGTGGCAATAATTAGTGAATAACCACTTTAATAAAAGAGAAAATTTCCTAAATATTGAGCCAAGCATTTAAATCTCATAAACCCCTTTAATAAAAGAAGTAAAAGTGGCAATAATTAGTGAATAACCAAATTGTACCATCCTTCTTGAAAATTCCCAATTTCAATTTCTATATACCCACATGATGACTAACCTTGCATTTGACATTACCATTATTCGAATTTTTCATACCACAACTGGATATCACCAACAAAATTTCAATGCCTGGGTGATGTGCTTGTAAAGGATTATGAAATATGGTTATTGGGTATGTAGATACATGAGAATTGTAAGTTGCATATCAAACTTTCTAAATGCTGAAATAATTAAGAGCATATCATAATAATAAATCTCACCGAGAGAAGAAATGAAATCATAACCTCGAACAGCCGCTAACTTTACCATGCATTTAACAAAGTTTAGGAGAAGATATGCTATGTTAAACGAATTCTAAACATATGTGTACATCGCATCATAATCCTTTAGCAATTCTTGCAAATTTTGGATGGTTATAATAGCATTTCAATCATATCTCAATCATAAACGACTAGAATCAAGAAGCAAGAACACCCATTTACCTCTTCTCGAATCAGATTTATATGTTTTGATGCCAATGAAGAAGAGCTTCAGGTTTCCACACAACGAGTCACAAATTTCAGATTTTATGAACCAAAATTGTCAAGAAAATTAACATACACTCACACACTTACGTACATACTTCCAACTCTTTATATACTTACATATCTCACATCTAGGCTTTAATATTTACTTTTATGCCACCCAAACCATTCATATCGCATCAAAATATCACTACTCTTAAGTTTAACAAGATGAAATACACATTATTCATGTATGTAAATATCTCCTTGAAACAAGCCTCGGTGATAGGAGTGTAAATACGTGGAAGAAAGTGATACATGTGTAACTTATTAAAATTTTGTTCTTGAACATGTGGATAG